ATAAGTGATAGGCCACTGGCCTCTCCTTACACCTCACCCAAAACTGGAAACTATTAATGGTGATCCATATTTGAAGCCATAAAATGATGGTGAAGGATCCATTTCTGCAGAACATCCACCAAAGTGACCAATGATGTTTCTATCCCATGCGTAGGCCTGAATTCAGAATTAAACACATCCAGATAATCCATTTACCTTGTATTCTCTGTAGCTGAAGCTCTACCAACCTGTCAACAGCTTCTTCAAAAAGAGAAATTTAGAGATTGGTTAGAACTTGTCTATACATATTCCCATTTTGGTAAGGGAATTGAACCAGTCTGTCAACTATGGTTTTATTTTTGTTTTGTTTTTTAGGAAATAAATATTGTTTATAGGATACTTCAAATTAATTTAAATAATGTCATCATTACAAAAATAAAACTCCGTTCTAAACAAATTCTAAACAAATGTTCAGTTACCATGGAATAGTTACTATGGTGGTGAAGAAAAATGTGTTGCAGAAAATTGCTACATAATAAATACTAAAATAGTAGCTGGCAGCAAGTCGTAAGTCACTCCCATTCCCACTACTTTCTTGCCCTTGATGATTCTGTTTCTGTGTTTAGGTAAGGAAATCTCTCTGCAACAATGACCCAATGGGTCATGGGCTGTCTAGTATTCTTCTAAATATGAAGCCCAGTGAGTGAACTGGAGGATTGCAAACATGCAACCATCCTTGACTTTCAGATTGTCTTCAGGCTTGGAGTTTGTGGGTCTGTAATATATGAGGGAAATGCTGGGTGCATTCACATACATATGTGGTAAAGCTGTTGTTCCTTTGTATTTTAGCAATTATCTTAGAAATACCTCAAGTAGGTGACTATCAGGTCCTTTTCCTAGGCTTCCTCCCCCATGATTCATAGGCCAACAGCAGACTTGATTGTACATGTTATGGAATATGGGAACAAGGAACTTGTGCTTCAAGTTATATTTTTTCTTTATGCCTCAAGTTAAATTTTCTTCCTAAAGGTTTTGCACTTGGTACTATAAAATGTCCCTCTAGCTGAAAATATTAGTTGGAAAAAAATGTTCACTATATCATCTCCTCACATTTTCTTTTTTTAATGGGATATAAAAAAGTCAGATCAGTGATTAAAGAATGTCTTTGTGATATTGTAAATAGACTAGCATCGTTCCATACTATAATAACTATTTTGCTAATATAGTTTATATATCTGATGCCTGGATTATTTTTTTCCCTTTTAGGAATGGGAGAAGTGTACTTTGCAAGAAAAAAAAACTTTATATTTATAATCAACAGTGGTTAGGTTATTTCAATATATTAAAAAGTGTAGGTGTGCCTCACACAGTTAATAATTTACATCTTTATAGCTTTCATTTTCTTTCTGGTCAAAGTCCTTTCATTCAATATATTTTTGAGTTTTATTTTTCGTTGTAGCACAGTTTCAAATTTGCCTGGATTCTTAAAGAAATCCAACAAAAGGAACAACAGTAACAAAAACAGAAACAGCTTTCTTTTCAGTAGTCACAGAGTGAGCATCCTTGTGGCCAGAT